GACCGGATTCGTCGTAAGCGGCGGCACAATACTAGCATCGACAACATACAAATTCTTCATTCCAATTACCCTCGTATCCGCATCCACACACGTCTCCATCCGACAACTGCTACTCCAATGCTGCACATGGCCCAACGTGTATTCGCTCTTCGTCGTAAGCCAGGTGACGAGTTCCTCGACGGTTGCGTTCTTGGCTACGTTGAGGGGCGTAAGGGAGTCTGGGAGCGAGGCGAAGATGTTGTGGATGAATGTTGCAATGGCGGAGGCGTCGCGGGGATTAGAGTAGAAGAAGTCTTTTGTTGGAATGGCGATGCCGCGGGCGTCGAGGGATACGCGGCCGAAGGAGCGGAGGCCGGATGTGCCGTAGACGTTTAGTGTGACGGTGCCGTTGGACATGAGGCCGAATGCGCCGTCAGAGTCGATAGTGCCTTGGCAGCCGACGGTTTCGTTGCCTTGCTGGATGTAGTCCCAGAAGGCACTGGTTTGTGAGGCGAAGGTGTAGGGGCCGGAGCGGTTGTTTAGGTAGAGTTCCTTTGCGTCGGTGGGTGGGTCGGAGTAGCTGTAGTCAAAGGACGAAATGGCTTTGGAGTAGAGTTCGATGAAGCTGTTGGGGTTGTCGAAGACTTTGTCGCCAACGGCTGTGTTGTTGATCCAGTCTTGAGGCGCGACTGTCAAGTTTCCGGCGATGGAGAGGTTCGTGAGTGTTTCTGGGGAACCGATGCCGGACCACATGAGTAGTTGTGGGCTGAGAAGAGTACCGGCAGAGGAGATGATCATTCCTCCTTCTTTGATGCAAATACTTTGGCTGTCGCTTGATCCTGTGGTTTGGACGTCGACGCCGGTTGCTACATCGCCCTCGCGACGGACACGAAGGACCTTGGTGCCGGTTTGAAGTTTGAAGTTGGATCGCTTGAGTGCTGATTGAAGATATGTCTTGACAGGCCCGCTTCGTTGGCCGTTTTCATAGTACCAGATAGGATGGCCGAAAACCTTGGTCTTGGTGTGGTTCGCAGCTCCGTCATTCAGGCCAACGTCTGCAAATCCTGCGCAGTCGACAATCCATTCGTGCGCAGCTTCGTAGCCGCTCTGCAAATATCTCTTTCCATCCTGCGACGGGCTATCGGTGCTGGGTTGTGTCGTTCGGACTTTCTCAATGGCACTTTGCATGTCTTTATTCTTCCAGCCCTCGGGGAAATAACGATCCCAGTCACTTGCCGGCGGCTGAAGAAGAGTCCTGCGTTGATGGCAGAGCTACCTCCAACTGTGCAGCCCTGGAAGGCATTGACAACGGCGTATGGGCATCTCAAGGTGCCGCCATTTGAGAAGATTGAGCCGTACAAGCCGGGTACATCGACTCGGCTAAGCTCTGTGTCATTCAACCATTCTGGTCGTTCGAGACCGCCAGTAACGTAGTAGGATGATCCACCCTGTTCTAGTAGGAGTGTCTTCTTTCCAGCTTCGCTCATGCGGTCTGCCGTGACGATGCCGGCTGGTCCGGAGCCTGTGGTGCCGTTAGTATGACAAAAGGATGGATACGACTGAAGCTTACCAACAATGATGACATCCCATTCACCGCCTGCACATGGGTCCGCTATAACGCTGCTTGCTAGAAACGCAATCGGGATGACCGTCTTCCATGTTGTTGATGCGACCATGATGTTTACCTGATTCTACTTTCGAAGATGGACTCAGCACCAGCGCCCGAACACGTCTTTTATGGTTCCTAGTCCAAACCCAAGATCCCGACGTCTGCCGCTTTCAAGTACAAAAATAGCTCTGCGCTGAGTCTCCGCTCAGAGCAAAGTCTGCAAGAAGGGGTTTGGTGGATGCTGGCACCACCTTACACGTAGCTGTACCTAGCTGTAATGACGCCGTTTCGGACGTGAACCGTGCGTCGCGTGCTCGAGTCTCCGCTTTGGACGGGCGCTTTGCCTCACTTGCCCTGTGATCGGCGGGTTGAATTGCGACGGTGCCATGAGTCGGTCGTAGTGCACTGAAAGTGACCATCCTTAGTGCGGATGGTATTTTCGGACACGAGCCTGGCGCGCGATAAAGTGTCGGGAAGTACGGCTGGCGGGCGCAAGCTTCTGCTAATGATGTCAATTTGGTAGAATGACGGAAGAGGCGCTTTTCTCCTCGTGTTACACATGTTTGTACGTTGTGAAGCCTTTGGAAGTTTGGTATATGCGCGCATGCTGGGAAGCTTGGAAAGCTTCTGTCGTAACTAGCTACATGCGCCACCCGTCCGGACCGTGCGGTAGACCTTACATTGTAACCGAGGCTGCGCTACCTGGATGTGGAGAATACGTCTATTTTCGGGGGCGCTGAAAGTAACCTGGAATGACGTACAAAGGTCTGATGTCTGCGGTAAATGGTCGCTACGTTGCACCCGGAGAGAAGTCGTGACTGGTGGTACGATCTTTGTAACCACGTGACTAGAGTCACATGATATCCTATTGTAGCAGGCACTGCCTGGTGGGCAAGTGCACTTACCTCTGAGCCGAGAGCTCTTGTACACATACATCACAACACGACAACAGATAGCAATACAATCGTTGATCCACAGCCTCTACCCGACACTGCTCACGCAGTTACAATCTTCGACAGCCGCTCTTCTCTCTTGATGTCCCGACACCGGTTTGCAAGGCGATATCCGACTGCAATTCTTATAGAACGGATGTGAATGAATAGAATTTTGATCCACGAACGAGAAATATGCATTCCCCTTTTCTTTCTCTTTTACTTTTGTAACAGTAGCCTTTGCCCTAGTTGATGGGGACATGAGGTTTCATTCCATAGCCAACCATAGGGAAGATGAATCACATAAGACCTAAGTGGTACATAAAAAAAGCCTAGAGAAAATCTAAAAGATATCAATCTTACCGGTTGCACAAGAAAACGTCAATCATCATAATAACAGAGAAGTGACAGTGAAATTTGCTAAGAAAAAAATTACTCTGCATTACTCTTCTGCGCAGATTGATGTCGAAACGGCGGATTCGGCAGCATAGGCTCCACCACCGACCCTATAACCGGCTTCCAAGGATACTTATGAAATAGGCCAATACAGTGATCAATATGCGGCTCCGTATCCCCCCACCTCTCCACCACGACGCCCGTAAACCTCACGCGATACTGCTTCTTCCAAAAGTAGAAACAATGGATCATGTGCCAGACATTCGTCGCATGGTACTTGCGCCCCGTATTTGTAAGCTCACCCAGCTTAGACACGTCGATGGGAATGGTACCGTTTTCATCCTCGAAATACGTCCATGCGCCGCCGGGACCGGGTCCCGCATGTTCGAATTCTGCCGTCACTATGTCGTCGCGGCAGCGGGGGGGTAGCCACGCGGATGAGAGGACGTCGAATTTGCAGTCCAGAGCTAGTGCTGAGGCTAAGGTTTCGCCGCAGGAACATGAGGCGTCTTGTTGTTGTTCTTGTTGCTGTTGTTGGGCTGCTAGTGCAAGATGATCGGTGGTGTCTTGTCGTTGTACCTCTGGGGAAAGATGGTCATGCATACGACGGCATAGGTCTAATAGCCCATAGAGCGCTAGGAGGTAGACGCAACATTTGCAAAGCAGTATGAAGAACCGTAAAGGTCGCGACTTAGATGCGCTTTTCGCCCCGTGGCCGGGCTTTTCTAGTACAGGATCTGGTTCATCGTCGCTGTTAACAAGCCGCTCGGTTTCGGGCTCCGACATGCTCAAGATTGTGTCTCGATAGGTAGGAGCGGCAGCCATGGATGACCTGTAATTCCTACGACATAGGATTGTGTAAAGATATCTCTGGAGCTGTATTCGGTAGATGAGCTACGTTTCTATTAGCCAAGACTCACACATGACAGAACATCAAATCGAAAACTGATCAAAACGCGTCGTTTTTCATCGGAATATAGTCGAAACCATCAGAAGAAAAACATTCCAGCTACTCTAAGCCTCCGCAGCCAGCTGGTTGTAAAGCTAGACCCAGTAGAACGAGATTCTTCAGACGCGTTCAATCTTCGAAACAAAAACGCACAGACCAGTCCTTATCGATAAGACAACCAAAAACACCAACAATTGACTCTCGCTGTTTTCTAGTCTCCCAAATCTATTCCTATCCTAGAGATTTACTCGATAGATCAGTAAGATAGAGAAAAGAGAGTAAGAAGAGTAAAATAGCAAGGCTTTCACTACTTTCACACCGGTACGGCTAGAAGAACTAGGTATCCTTCTAGTGTAAAGTAGCAACAACAGAACAAAAATGCCGCCAGACAGCGACAATATTACAGTGCAGATCCCAGAGGCAAGTGGAAACAGCGTTGATACAGCAATCTAGCTCGAAAACGATATCCAAATGGGTATAGAAGAGGACCAGACACTAGCGACCCTAACCCAAACCTAACCTAACCCACCTAAACGGCTAATCCTAATTATAAACAAACGACCAGCCCTCTTCTCTCCTGTATACAACAGAATAGGAAGAAATCTATTCTAAAAGAACGACTCTGATAAACTAACTGCAAAAGATCTAGAACAGGCAATCTATGTAAGGTGTCAGCCCTCAGGGGGTGTCAACTAGAATGTTCTACTATCGTCACAGCTACGTAACACACTGCTGATCTGGAATGCTCCAGATACTCTACTTCATGTATATAGTCGCTCTCTGCAGCTCTCTCAATAAAACAACCTTCTCTCTCATCTCTCCTCCGATCCAACATAAGGGGCTGCGCAAAGTATGCCGATGCCTGGTAACAGGATTGTATTCGATGAAGAAGAAAGCTATCTGCAGTGCAACGATATCTATATACGTTTGGCTTGTTGTTCACGTAGCTTCTCGAAGCATCTAAAGTGCCGAGAAAGCTCCGAAGGTTCCACCGAGGATCACCATAGCATCTGGGCTCTAGCCCGTTACAATCTAATGGGCTAGAAACCTAATCCTCCAAGCCTCTATTATAACTAACTTATATGAAGAGCAAAACAAGCTACTCGAACTACTAGATGTATTTAGAGACTACACGGAAAAAGGGAGAGTTACAAACCAGATCTCGGACAAACTATCTGCCAAGCTCGCCTTCTACTCAGCTACTCTAGCAAACGCTTCAGAAAAAGCAGCAAAGACATTAAAGAAGGCAACAGCTATAGTAGCTGGTCAAAACAACTAAACGGCAGCAGCAGCAGCAACAACGACAACAAACACAAATGCTCCCTAATTATACGCAACAATTGCAGCTCAACTATCAAAGAACGCCACTTAGACGACTGTAGCTCTAAAGAAAAAGCTAACGCCTAAGAAACTAATTACGCACTATTAAATAGTTGCAACACTAGAGGAAAACCAAACTATTAACCCGCTCTAAGCACGAAACAAAATCAACGAGGTATTCTAAAAAGCTAGCATTGCAGGACCTGTTATCCAACTAGCAGCTCTTAGTAAGAGAAACAATCTCATACTTACTACTACAAGCGGATACTCTGGAGAATTCCTTCTTTAACAATTAAATATCTAGATAGACCTCTTTAACATCAAACACGCTCAACCACTAGAATCTTGGACAAAAGTCATAGTCCACAACGTCCCTACAACCTTTGAAGGAGCAGACACGCTAGAAATCCTTCAAACTGAAATCCCTACATACAACAAAGGACTACAAATAGTTAGTAACTCCTACTGGCTTACAAAAGACTAGAAGAACAAGCAAAACAGCTCTATTGTCATCGCTTTTAAAACAGAAGCTAAAGCAAAGAAACTAGGAGCGAGGATCATCATCCTTGGAGAGAGCCTCCGTACTGAAAAGTATAGAAGTATTCCAGCTACCTAATGCGACAACTGCTAAGGGTTTGGCCATACAAAGCTGAAATGCCGAAACTAAACAGCATGCCAGCTATGTGCGGAGACCCACCCTACATCGCAGCATAAATGCTCCACCTGCACGACAAGTGGGAAACCTTGTATCCATACACTCCCAAAATGCTCAAACTGCAAAGAACCTCACTTTGCTAATAGCAGAGACTGTGAAGTCCTCGCAGCTATAACAAACAAGGAGAACCAATATATAATAGAATATTAGACAGCATTAAGATTCTCTAAGCGAATCTGAACAAGAGTATCTAGGCTACAAAGTCTACTCTTCAACTAGCTGTCGAACTAAGGGTTGATATAATTGCAGTCTAAGAGCCTTAGCTTACACTAAAAAGAAACAACGACTACGCTGATACTAGGTCCACTAGCCACGCAGCATACCTCTAAATTCTCCTACAATCCGAACCAAAACTCCGCCCTAGAGTGCTATTCTATATCTCTAGAACGCTATTAGCAGAAACCTACCTACTAGAAGGTTTCACGTCAGATCTAGACGCTATAGCACTAGTAGTACAGAAAGGAAATCATAAGTTTAATATCTTCAACCTATACAACGAGAGAGGTATAGGAGATATAAAGACTATCCTAAGAGTTCTTCTAAACACAAACACAAGACTACTAGAGTTATCTATTCTACTCCTAGACGCAAATGAGCACCACCTGTGGTGGGACCCACTATGCACATCGACGAGCCTAGGAGCACCCCCATTTGTAGAATAGATAGAAAGCCAAAACCTTAGCCTTCTAAACACACCAGGAACGGGCACTTTCTTTAGGCCACACCTATTAAGAGAATCAGTTTTAGACCTATCTCTAGTTACCCTAGACCTAGCTGACAAAGCTATTGACTAGCAAGTCACTACAGAGACTAGATCTAACCACTACGGCCTACTCTTCTCAATTCGATCAGACACCGACCAAGTAGACAATCTAATAAACCAACGCAAGTTTAACACAAAAAAGGCGGATTGGCTACTATTTCAAAAAACCCTAAACGAGGCTATTCAAAACAACATCACGCTACAGCACATAAGCGAGATAAATGACCCTAGGAAACAAGATTGCAAGAATCTAATTCTAGAAGAGGACTAGGAGCTTTAAAGCAAACTAGAGGAGATAGGGGAAGCAATTACGCAAGTTATCCAACTAGCAGCTAACAAAGCAATCCTAAAAGTTAAACTAGGTCCTAAACTAAAACCCTAGTAGAACTAGGAGCTTACTAAGCTAAGAAGAGAGCTTACTTACTACTAAAGAGTCTACACACAACAATTGCAACAGTTGTCCATCCAAGAGGCATATCTATTCAAGAAAGACTTCTTAATAGCGCGGAACACCTACGCCAGAGCAATCAAGGATGCCAAGAAGAGACATTAGAATAGCTTTCTAGAACAAGAAACCCCACAGTCTATCTACAAAGCTATGGCATACACAAAGGATCAAAAGGTCGAAAAGATTCCACCTATCCATAGAGAGATACTAGAGAAAACATTCAAAGGAAAGTGCAAGGCCTTTAGAAAAGCACTTTTCCCTCCTCCTCTAACAGCAGAACTACTAAGCTTTCTAAACTATTAAGAGAGCATTTGGGACTAGCCGCAACTATCAATTTCTGAACTAGAACAAGCCTGTTCTAGTAAAGTTAAAAGTAGTACACCAAGGCCTAACGCTATTACTTAAGATATTATAACCGCTACGTTTAAGTTCAACCTAGAGATCCTCTTCATCGCCTACTTAATCTTGTTTAATTACGGATACCACCCTTGGTGCTGGAAAGCAGCTACAGGAGCAATTCTCAAAAAACTATCTAAACTAGACTACTCTCTCCCGAAAGCTTATAGAGTAATTACTCTCTTAAACAGCCTAGGGAAGGTACTAGAAAGAATTATCGCCAAAAGACTAGCTAGTCTAGCAGAAACCACAAACCTCCTACACTCCTCACAAATTAGAGGTAGAAACAAGAAATCTGCAATAGACGCCGCTCTCCTCCTAGTAGACCAGATTCAACACAAAAAACAGCAAGGCTAAATTACTTCCACAGTGTTCGTGGACGTCAAAGGAGCTTTTGACCACGTCATACACAACCGATTTCTAGACCAACTTAAGAAACTTGGACTCCTAATTAGCTTAATTTGCTGGGCGAAATCCTTTCTCTCTAACAGGACCCTAAGACTGGCATTCGATAATAAGATTGAAGAATTTAGCAAGATTATAGCAGGCATCCTACAAGGCAGCCTAGTATCACTAATCTTCTTCCTTATCTATATCTAAGACCTATTCCTAGCCTTACAAAGCTTTCAACTATCGTATATCGACGACCTATCTCTCACTACGTTATTAATCTCTCTAAAGAAAAATACAAGAGCACTGCATAAAGAGATAGCTACACTCTTTGCTAAGGGAGAGCAGCTAGACATTATCTTCGACACATCCAAAACAGAGCTAATCTACTTCACCGCTAAGAAGGAGAGGATAGAAAGAGCCCTCATACTCCTAAACAACGACCGGATAGAACACAAAGACACTATCAAGTGGCTAGGTATCTATCTAGACAACCGACTATTATTCAAATCACATGTGTCTATACGTGTAAGCTAAGCCAGACAAGCTTTCTACAAGCTAGGAAGACTAGCGAACATTGAACTCGGCCTATCAACACACGCTATTAGACAACTATACTTAGCATGTGTAACTAGCGTGTTAAACTACGAAGCACAAATATACTAGCAAAACTAACCCTACGCTACAAAGAAACTACAGTCACTACACAACCTAGCTTGTCGAAAAACTCTAGGAGTGTTTAGAACAGCACCAACAGTCCCTACAAGCCTTAAAGCGAGCCTACTACTACCAGCAATTAGGCTTAACTCAACTATCTAGAACTACGCAAGCAGAGCAAACCTGCTAGCCAACACCCATCTAATTGCAAAGGCAATAACTTAGATCTAATTAACTAATCTCTAACGCTTAAAGAAACTAAACTAGCACAGACAGCTACAAACTATTACTAACGCAATTCCTAAAAACAACAAAAGAGACACAGAGCAGACTATCCTATACCGGTTTAGGCTATAGGATACTCTAAACTATACCGTAATAGTCTCTTAAAAATCCAAAGAAGAGGAGGCAAATGCGCACTAAGCCTAAATTAAAACAAGGCTAGATAATTACACGACAATATACTCAGACGCCTCGTAAACACAAGAAGGAAAAGGAATAGGAGTTAGGATAGTAGTCTACAACTTAACTCAACAAGAGATCTACTTAGAAACAGTTAATATTAGACAATACTAGCTAGTCTACAATGGCGAACTAGAAGGGATCACACGAGCATTCGAATACGCAGCAAAGAACGCTACAACCGACCAGGAATTTGAGGTCTACGCAGATAACTAAGCAGCAATCTACAGGCTTAAAAACCTATCAGATAACCTAGGACAGCATTGGCAACTCCGATGTCTAAAAGCGGCAAATACGATCCGACGAAAACAAGCAAACATCCACCTACTCTAGGCACCTAGACACATAGATATAGTTAGAAACGAAAGAGCAGACTACCTAGCAAAAGAAGCAACCAAAGAGGACCCCAGATCAACAACAAAGAGCATTGCCTACCTAGGCACGACAATTAAAAAGATACAACAAACGGAACAACGCCAAGAGTATAAGAAATACAAAGCAAGAGCAACCGCTCTAAACAAAGCTACCTACTCAGCCAAATACCCTCTTAAAATTAGCAAAACCATCTAAATGCCACAGAACACGAAAAGAGTAACCTCTAGCGCTTTCTACTCTCTTAAGCTAGGACACGGATACTTCAACTCCTACCTAAAGAGATTTAAGAAACGAGACTCTAATCGCTGCACCTGCCAAAACATCTAAACGCCAGAACACCCACTACTGTACTGTCATCTATACAAAGACCATCGAAAAACGCTCCTACAAACAATCAAACATCGCCCAGTCACACTACCACTACTACTCCACACTAGTATAGGTAGAGAAGCAACCCTAGCTTTTATCACTAGCACTAGAATAGGAACAAGAAAATGGCACCTAGGACAGCCACCAGAAGACCTACAGAGAGACACTGTATAAAACTAAAACCACAACCCTCTCCTTTGCCACAAGAGCCCGCTACTACATCTCTTTCTACTTATCAAACTGCTCTTTAGCACCTGGCAACAAACAGATACAAGCTATCTTTTGTAGAAAAGCCAAAAACCATATTAGCGAACCATACCAGAAAACCATGTAAATTAGAAAAACCAAGATAGAACGGCCTTCGGCCAAAGTCCTACATAGTCTCTGACTGAAAAAGGACTCTAATGGAATAATAATAATAATAATAATATTAGCCAAGACTGCTCGAAAAATATGATCTGACAACGGAACAACACTTGCCCGCGGTTGAGGGTTGGAAAGATGTGTTGCATGAGCACTCATTTACGTTTGAAGAGTGTCCCCCTGTTACGCGAATGATTTTTAGGTTTAAAGGATGGAGTCCCTTTTGTCGCAGAGGCCTTGACGGGCGATGACTATGGTAACAAAGACGATACCCTGTTTCTTCATCAGGGCTTCTCGCCAGTCCAGTGCGGCTCTACCCCTGGCTCTATTTTATTCCGACATCTTACTGTTTCTAATAGCTCTAGGATAGTTATCCCGCTTCGACTCAGTCCGGAGTAAAGTTGTAATCTGTTTCTGTATCGGGGCTTCTTGTCGGTCCGATCCGGTGCGGTCCTACCCCAAGCTCCATGTAGAATACCCCGCTTCAGCGCGGTCTGGTATAAAGTTATCTGTCTCCATATCGGAACTCCTTGCCGGTGCAGTGCGGCTCTATCCCTGGCTGAATGTGACACCTACGCCTTACTATTTCCTACCTCCAGGATCCCCCGCTTCGGCTCAGTCCAGACTGGAATTGTAATCTTTCGTTGCTCTGATTGATACTATGCATGGCGCTTCTTCGGCCCAGTAAATTCATGTCTTGAAAACTGTTCCAGTGTAACATTACTCGGCCTAACGTTGTTGTTCAAAGTATGTCCGTTTTTGGCTAGGTTAATGCTTGTTCGGTCTGGTGAGGATCTGTTCTTCCTCCCCTGGAAGCAAATAAACTCTAAGTCAACCTTGGCTCTTAGCAGAAGACCAAAGTCCAGTCACTGGCAGGGTAAAGCGATTTTCAAGATGACGTCATTATTGAGTTGCGGAATGTTATTACAACAAAACTGCGTTGTGAAAATCTGCAGCGAAGCATCGGCATCACTTATCTATACAATCAATCATTGAGTTGCGGACAAGTATCTTCTGGGTTCTTCTACGCCCTCGCACGTGTCCAAATGTTCAGCCCAGTTTTTGTCGAGACGCGGTGAGAGCCTTCACTAGTATTCACGGTGAATCAGGCTTCCCGTGCTCTGATTGGCCAGGCACTGATTAGTCAGCTGCTCCGTGCGCGCACCATAGATATTCTCCCTTCTCCCGTAGCTCCAATACAACAAGTTCACGCACGTTTTCTCCACCTTCATCAATGTCACTATCAAAGATCGTGAGCAGATGAGCTGTTTGTGGTGGACATCCACTGTCTATTGCCATTCGTCATATGGTTGACCTAGACCCCATGCAAGAAACTGTACCGACCGCTTACCAATACTCAAATGACCCAGCATGACTCTATGACTTATGGAGCAAACGCACACTACTATCTCAAACTATAGTAGATGAAGACACAGCGAATACACCATGAAACAATATATTATAAGCACAAAATAAGACAAGTAAGCTCTACCTATGTCATAGTATGATACAAAATAAATCCAAGAAATTCGATGACCACGCTTTCAGCAGACACTCATTCAATCAACAAAGCTGTGACGCAATGAAGCCTTTGGATGTCCAATTGGTAATGCTTCCTCCAATAGCGGAATCGACTCGTAATTAACGCAACGCATGCAATAGTTGGCTGGGTAAATTGTCAACTTATTGATTATTGCAGTCTTAGGTGAAGGAAACTTGCCTTTGGGATCTTGTGTATCTACAATCTGCACTGCTACCAATGTCATAACCGACCATAATGCTCTCAGCAACACCAGATTTGCGAGCAATACCGAGATTATCAAGGCCGGTGTTAGCTTCCGTACCGGGGTTTGGCAAAGGTACGTCGTGAAGATCAGACTCCGCAACAATCAATCGGATCGGCATGATTGATTCCTATCTAGGTTAAAGGCTGCCTAATGAAGTAATTCTTTAACCTATATAGGAATCAATCATGTCAATCGATTGATTGTTGCGGAGTCTGGTGAAGATGGTAGATTCCGTTACTTTTGGCTCGCCGGTCACTGTTTTGGGTGTGTCATAACTATCGCTTGCTGGACCGGCTGCAATCAGATGGATTTCGATATTGCCGTAGTCACTAGTGAATTGCTGTAAAGATTCCTGGTTGGTTAGGATGTTCGGCCCATTGACTACACCGAGGTCCGCAGAGATGGTGCTGTAAAATGCTTTGGCGAGCGAGTCAGCCGAGACAAGCATTAGAGAGAACGGATCGGTCGAGTTTCCATCGATAGTAACAGGCTCAGTACCTGACATTACGATTAAGCCGTTGTCCATGAGCATGGAGTAAGAAACGTTGAAGAAGGAGCTTGAAGAGATGTCTGCTGTAGTCCCAGAGGATCGAAAACTTAGACTCCCACCTTGCCAATATTCGCCTTTGTCGTTGTCTCGCACATTGTTTGCTTGTTCCATCTTTAGAGCTGTGTCGATCCATGAAAAAGACATGAGCGACTCAGCCCACCACATAGCAGGCTCTGCAGTGTTGTTTCTCAATACGAATTGGAATAGGTTTTCCTCAGCCGCATATTTCCATTCATCTTTCGTGCCTTGCGTAAGGTCGAATCTTCTGATCGCATTCGGAGGTACTAGGTCGTATTCTGCCGTCAAGTTGAAGACGACGTGACCCTGCAGGTTTACAATAGAGCACGAGATGGCCGCAAGGAGTTGTGGACCAAAACGCTGCCATGCAACCTGCTGCGAAGTACGGCCCATGTGTTTTGCTGCTTCAATCTTGATATGATTGACACGACAATCCTCAAGAGGATTGTTGAGATAAAGCATCGATGGCATAGGGAGATTTTCGGTAGGGTTGGTGTTGCGGATGATACTAATAGTATATCTGAGCCCGTTTTTGTCCGTATTGAAATCTTGTTGCACTCCAATCTCTTTCGGTTCGCAGCTCGATGAGAGTTTTTGGATACCACTAAAAACGGGCTTGTCATACCACAACCTCTTCGCAATGGTTGCATTGGGACTGGAAGAGTAGGATATGCGTAGTTCGTAGCCGGTGACTATTGTATTGAATACGGAAAGTAGTACTGTAGTGATGAAAAAGAATATCACCACAAAGATTGTGCAATGTCGAAAAGGATAGGGCCTCGTAATCGCGTATTGAAATTGAAATACCATAATGATGAGTGTGAGGACTCAGCAGACGAAAATTGGTATGAGCGACACTCTAAGATCAGGTATACGCAGGAAGTTACACTATTATCCGACGGCGTGAAAGTAGGCACGAGGGTATTATACGCATGCTGGGGCCAAAAAGATAGGCGGTCTTCGCATCAGTGTTACCTAAACGAGTCTTGGCTGGGGCTGAATCCTGTAGAAGTGGGGAGTCGACAAGTCCACTGCGCAACAACGTCCATTATGCCGCACTAGATCGCCGTTACTGACTCAAGCCAGCTATCTCTTCGTGAAAAAGGGAGCATGGTTGTGTATTTTTGTGATGGTTAATAGTTCATACAAACAGAGAACTGGATGCAACACATAGACTCCGCAACAATCAATTCAATCCGGTCACTCTCCTAGACCCACTTACCTATCTAGGTAGGGCTTAAACTCCTATAGGTAACTACTAGGCTTAAAGCGGTAATCAATCAATCCAATCTGAACCTTCTAGGACCCACTTAATTGATTGTTGCGGACTGTGGCAACACATAAGTCTCAAGGTGTGGCAAAACAGCGACGATTAGATAGCGCCAAACGCAGATCCGGCCCCACCACCTTTAGCTCTTAGCTTCAACGTGACCTTTATCGGTATTGAGCCGCAGAGAGCTAAACACTATTAAAATATCTTTGTATTCGCTAAACCCTGATATCGGAACTTCATACGTACGTCTTATTGCCTCTTTCGTCTAACAAAGCCGGTAGCTTAAGAAGGATTTGGTTGATTGCAGCCACCAAAACGCTCGCATAAGGCTGAACTTCAGCCTTGTAGAGTGAATATATACCCATTAGTTTCAGGTTATTGGTGCTGTTCATGGCAGTTTCCTGTAGTCTTCTCGGTGTGAACAAAGACGATGGACAATAAAGCGAACGCTGGCAAATTGGTTAGATTAGGAAGGTTATTGTCGCAACAAATGGCAATACAATCGATCGAGAAGCTAGGCCAAGCCACGAAGATAGCTGACATTTATTTCGGCAAATCTAGCTGCACTGCCGAGGACGCCTAATTATCTTTGCAGCCACCGCAGTTTTAACAGGGTCTGTCAACGACTTTAACACATGTTTGTTGATCTCGCCAATCTGTTGTGTTCATCCCATGTTATACTTTGTTTACACATACGGTCTTCCGCCTTTACCACAAGTCATCTTCGGCCTTCCAAGCAATGGAGTATTCGCTGGTACATCCAGAGCCAATCTCCCGAATTTCCACTCCTACAAAAGATGCCAAGCATCAGCCTCGTCCATCAAGATCAGCAAGGACTTCGTTACGAGCCTGGAAGTGGGAGCTTGCCACATGGCTGCTAGGAACGACTGCGCTCTGTGCCATCGTGACGCTACTCATTTTGTACAGAGATAAGCCGCTCAAGGAATGGACCGCCAACTTCCGCTTGGCCACCGCCATCGCCGCTCTTTCTCAGGTCGCACAGTCCGCCTTGCTTGTCTCGGTATCATCCTGCATCGGTCAATTGAAATGGTCGTATTTGCGCAAGGAGCGTTCGACTCTGGACATCAGTAGGTTCGAACAGGCTTCTCGCGGGCCCCAGGGGAGTCTCATGTTGCTTTTAAGCATTCATCCGTATGTTCACCTCCGTGTACCTGCAGCTGCATTCACAACAAGCTCACGATGTAAGACATCTAGTGTCGGTTGGGGCAATCGCGACTATCTTGCTGCTTGGCTTTTCGCCATTTGCACAGCAGTCGGCGACAATTAGGATAAGAAGTATCAAAGGTGTTGAGAATACAGTCCGTAAGTGACTTGGTGGTATCAAGCGGAGGAGTAGTCACATGATTGGTGACACGTGCAGGTGGGTCCTAGCGGGGAGCTTGGACGCAGCTGCACGCAACACGGATCTACGAACGTGTGAATAGCTCCTTAGTCAATACAATACGAATCTGTACCACCACTACCGTTGTGCCTTAGAGAGCGCTCTATTAGGTAGTCAAACTACTACTAATAGTGTCAGCTTCTCAATAAAAGGTACCTTTTCTTCTACAAGTGCTACCATAGGCCGTTCGGTACAATACGTCAATGACGCCACCAATGCCAGTTTCGTGGAAGTCAACGGCGTTCCGCCATCTAGCAATCCTATCATGTGTGAGTGTGCCGTACGTTACTTCTTTGATTGAGCTGATAGTCGTCAGATCACCCACACATGGCCAAAGGCATACTTGCGGGTATACTTGATGACGTTTCGAACCCTTCAGATGTCATAGGGTCTTGCCAAGCCGAAGTTTGCACCTGGGCACCGTATCAAACGCTTACCGTATGCTCTTTCGTCGAAGACGTTTCCGCAGACGGAACTATGCTTTATGTCAATTCCATGGGTGATTCTAGAGTTCGTACACCCATGTATGACCTCGGTCCAGGTCCTGGGACTGGACCCAAGAGGAGCTTGGTAGCCTACCTTTAACATTCTGGATGAATACACAGGTCAATTGGCGGGATCCGGATGCCCGTGCAACAGATCAGGAACCCCTACGCAACATCTCAACTACCCTCGTTGGCTACTATTCTCCTTGCAATCAGGATGATAAACCAAGAACAGATTGGACAGGTCAGAGGAACGATGCGGCCAACTAGAAAGGTTTCCAAGGCAGTTTGATTTTATGTCTCCAGACGCTGAGCTCCACCTACAACTTGACAATGCATACTAAAATCGTAGACACGCACATTAACTTAGACTGGCAGATAAGGCCGGGAATCTCGATTGATAGCCGATACCAGTACTGCGTCATGGGTCACAACAACGAGGAATATTGCGTAGGAGATGCGGACATCACTGAGTGGGAATACCTGATAGCGGAATCACTTACCGGTGCAGCTGCCGTATATCCCAACGAGACCAGCTATGGCTTTACCGGTCAGTATGCCCCTAATATTGCTTCCGATGTCCTCGGCGACAGCCCAGCGTACTGTACCGGATCAGAAGCAGGAGGCTTCGAACAACGGATAAATAACATCGCCATCTCAATGAGCAATACGTAAGCTACATCTGCTCCTTGTTCCCACCTGCTCAGCACTAACATGATGAAACAAACAGCCTTCGTACTGGCAAAAATGCCGTCCCCATCAAAGGCACCGAATGGACCAAGGAGCAATTCTTCGACGTCACGTTCTACTGGCTGTCTTTCCCACTCGCCATATACCTCACCATAACGCTCTTCTTGTTTTCCACAATCGTTACTTCGGGCAAAGCCGATATGCCGCTGTGGAAGTCTTCACAGCTGGTCTTACTGCCACAGTCCGCAACAATCAATTAAGTGGGTCCTAGAAGGTTCAGATTGGATTGATTGATTACCGCTTTAAGCCTAGTAGTTACCTATAGGAGTTTAAGCCCTACCTAGATAGGTAAGTGGGTCTAGGAGAGTGACCGGATTGAATTGATTGTTGCGGAGTCTACTTACTGCAGGCGACGAATTCATCGAATCGTATGCAAAGTCTGGACCAAGTCGAGTTGGAGGCGCGGAGCACTCGTGTGAAGCTCTAATACACGGGTGAGAACTGGCAACTACAGAACATATCGGTGCCTCGCGTGACCGGGGAAGAGGTCATTTGACATGTTCAACTATCGTACTCCTTACAGGTGATGGACTGGCTTAGTATAAGGATAGCAATGGCAATGATTCATCTACGCATAAAAACTCCACTATAAAACATTCTACCAACATGCATATTAACCTTCTTCTACATCCACCTAATCTATCAACTACCTCCTCCGGTCTTGGAAAAGTCACAAAATCAACAGTTTCCGAGATGACGAAAACGACGGAGAATGGAGACAGTGGTAAATACTTCCACTAAGCTCTTTACTCTCTCCCACGTCCGCGCTAATAAATAATATAATTGCATCCTATGTTACAGACGCTATAAAGCCTGATTATACCACACACACACACACACACACACACGCAGCCGCCCCGGGTATCACAATACACTTATGATTGTATATGTAAGTGATGTCTATGCTTAGCAGCAGATTTCCACAACGCAGTTTTGTTGTAATAACAATATAAGTAAGCAGTCAAGGTACTATCCCTGTTGTCGGATCGTGAGTATCGGTAGAGACGTCGGCTGCTTGACACTTCGGCCCGACTTCGGCCCACCTTGCGCAGAGCTTAGGTGTACCTTCGTAGCAGCTATGTTCGTAGACAATAAATACCAATACTAGTCACCAGAAGAACCTCGTTGTTGTTATTCACCCGTACGATCGTACAAGGCCTACCAACACCTGTACCTTATACTCAGTAGAATGTAGTATTCATACAATACACTTATATTTCTGTAGGACTACGGATGACTACGGTAGGAAGAGAGGAAGGAAGTGAAAAGATGGGGCTGGAGGAAGGGAAGAAAAGAAAAGATAGAGTTGGAAAGTTGGAATAGTTGGTAGATCGACAAACATGTCGACAGCATTCATCCCATTCCATCTCATCCAAGTAATCGTGAAAAATCTCGGTATCAATCATCCCCTATCCCATACCCGCTCCCACTCCCCTCTCCCCTCTAAACCCCCGGAAACGGCACAACCCCCCCAAACATCCTCACACAGTCCTGAACCCCCATACTCTGCCCATCCAACCCCAACACCCCCTTGACCACATTCTCCACAAAACAAACAACCCCATGCTGCACCTGCACCGCATTCCCGCCCCCACTCAACCCCCTCCCCTGCACCGCCTGTCCCTTACCCCCCTCATTCTGCGCCAGCTCCACGATAACCGGCAGGTCACTCATATCAAACACGTCCGCGTCAACGACGTCGTACTCGGTTGAGATACGGCCGCGGAGTTGTTGCCACGTAGCCGCCCAATTCAACGCGTTTTCCCGCCGAAAGGAGGGCGAACGGCCGAAGAAGAAGAGGGGCGTGTTGACCACGGGGGTTGTGAGCGGGGGTGCGGCGCCGGAGAGGTTGATGCTGAAGCGTGTGGTACTGGTGTTGTATACAGACAAGGAAGTTGCAAGTGTGCCGCCGAGACCGTGGCCGACGGCGCCGTAGGACGTAGTATTTAGCGCGGCGGAGAAAGTGAAGTAGGGAAACTGGCGGGGGAGAAAGGACGAATCGCCGAGTTGGGACATGACGAAGGCGATGTCGGTTTCCCGGACGGACAGCGCGGTGGCGATGGTGGCGTTCCAGGATGTGAGGGGGGTGAAGTTGGAGAGGCTGACGGTGCCGCTGTTGTATACGTCGGAGGCGGCGGCCCGGCACACGCGCGAGGTGGTGGAGGGTGTGAACTGTACGATTGACGAGTCGCCTGGGTGGTCGATGAGGACGACGGCAACGCCGTTTGCGCTGATGAAACGGGCCATTGTTGAGTAGAGCAGTCTGCTGGTGTCGACATTCGGTTCGAGGATCACGACTGGAATCTTGCTTGCGTCGATGGTGACGGAGCTGGCGCAGCAAACCTTGTAATCCATAGTCTCGAAGACGCCGATGTCGCGCTTACCGCCCACGATGAACTGCTCGTTTGCGATAGCGGCTGTCATGGAAGGCATGTAAGGCTCAGTGCACTCTTTCGAACACGAGTTCTTGGCGATGGGCATGAAAAGGCTGGCCATGACACGGCGGTCCTCGGTGGGGTGGTAGACGTCCTTGACGCCAGTGTTGGTGAGAGCAAAGTGCGAGACAGCGACTTTGTAATTATGCCTGTCATCTGCGCCTGGGACAGTGACAGCATGCGCATGTTTAGTAAACAATACAGCAACCACGCTTAACAGCGCGACGCCGGTGAAGGAGACCATGATGAGTATACGGCGTGGAGAGAAAGAAAACAGCTTGAATGAATCTGCGGGGTGTTTGCAATGTTTTTGTATCCGCGCACGTACACACGAGAAAAGGTGTGTTTATAATTACTTGTGTAAAATGAGCGCGCTTTTGTAGCGCGTGACCATCCCCCGTAGTTAGCGCGTGACGTCGTGGCGAGCGCACGCTTTCACTACATCGTAACCAAGTGAGACACTTGAGCTCGAACCGCTGACTGAACTAGGCTGAAATTCTAATCATTACCCCAGCTTTTTGAGGTGCGCTTGTCTGTGCGCGTGGCGTGGGTGTTACTTGTGATGCCGGCCCGTGTGAGGTCCATGTGTGCTTTACAGGCTGGTTGCGACTACCTAAGACATGTATCCAAGTAGTACCCTCGCGATAACTCCAATATTCCATCGTTCACGCTCCGGTAGCTTTTTAAAAGTTACTCTGTGGCCTATTGCTCGTGCGGGCTGGTGGAGAGGTTCAGAAGCGTGCTGGAGTGGACCGGGCGTTTCCAAAGGACGTTGTGGTTTTTCGGGCGTTGGTTTTTCGTTTCCGGGCACCGGTGGTTTCCTCATCATGGAGAGTTTCAGGTTCGCGCTGGTTATAATTAGTATCGTGGGATACAGTGAAGAGAGTGTGTTGACAACATCTGGTTGCTGTCGAGCCCAGTTATTAGATCGAGGCCGAAGTTAGCTCTGTAGACCCATTCTTTCACCCAGTCATCACCGCGTCTCTTGAAAGCTGCCGGTGCATCTGCTGCGGTCATTATTTTCCTTTCTGGGATCATGCCACCGTAGAGTTCTTTTTGAAGATCAGTATGTTTGGAAACGGCCAGCGCTGCCAGTGCGTCTGCGGCCTGATTGCCGTTGCTTTTACCGTGACCTTTGACCCATATGAGTTTAGTTGAGATGCCTAATCTATCCAGCCACTGGGTGTGTTCAAACAGCACTTCAAGGGCCGTCATCTCTCCAGGTATCAGGGGGCCGAGTGTTCGTTTCAACGGAGTGTAACAGTTGAGGCCGTCTAGAATGCCTTGTGCATCAGTGTAGATGCGGACAAGCCGAAACTGTGCTCCTTTCTGGACCTGGTTCTTGGCATGATCCAAGGCCAGGGAGATTGCGAAGAGTTCTGCGTCGTTGCTACCACTTGTGTAGCGGCCGCCATTCTTTGCAAGAGAGTACCTGAATGCGCCTGATACTCCTACTACGCCAGCCCCTATGACACCTTCTCTGCATCCATCTCCACTATAAGTCGCATCTGCCCAGTATGCAATTGCGAGACCGTTTGCGAGTTCATAGGCAATGTCCTCGAGGCGGATTTCGTCGGTCTGGAAACCAGCCTCTCGGTCGAAGATGGTCATGCCTACGAATGAGCCTGGTATTGAGGCGCGAATCCGCCTGAGTCGTCCTGTTCTGGCGGAAATGCATAGACGTCGAAATCCTTCCTCCGCAGCTAACCTGGGAAACAAGGTATCGAACATTGTCGCGTAGTCGGCTGCTCTGTCCATAGTCGTACGTGTCTCGTCGTCGTAACACTCGCCCTCTTCGGGGCTGCTAGATCAGGAGTGCATCATGGCATCTCTCTGCTCGTGGTATGCTGTAGATGTGATATTCGTGTGTGTTATACAAGACCTCCGTCGTCGCTGTGGTAATCGCCAAGCACGTGCAATGCTTGGCATGCGACCAGGCACCCTCCAATGAGAGCATGGCAATTTTTCATGCGCATTAGGCACAGATGGGCGGAGGGGGGCGGGGGCGGGGGCGGGGGGGGGGGGAGGGGGGATATGAGATGAAAATGAAGAGATGAGGGTGAAGGTTTGACAGTAGCGAACTGGAACAACTGAGACATGACCGCGGCACATGACCTTGGCGCGAGGGAATAGAAGAACCACATGACCTACACGGAAGACACCTACAAACCTGCATATATCCACCTTCTCAAAAGTATCCTCGTTCGGTGTCTGGGTACCTCGTGTTAATTTACCTACCCACAAACCACCCCATCCCTCGGCTCCTCAACAACCTCCCCATCCCTCGCGACCCTCTCTTCCACCCGTCCCCCAGGCACAAGTCCCACATCCTCAACCTCCCCCTCACTCTTCTTCGCCTTCTGTTCAGCCTCGAGCCCCAACCTCTTCTTCTCCTTCTTACTCATCGTCATGCTCCCCTTTTCAATAGCTTCCTTGGGCAGTGGGCGAACATACGGTTGGCATACCCAGTATGGGCGCTTGACGCGTGCGACGGTCGCTAGCGAGGATTCGTATGGGTCGAGGGGCTCTGTTGGTGGTTCTTCGGGCTCAGATACAGATGGCGTGACGTCTGCGTGTTCGAATTCGTATTTTTGAATTCCTTCTTTGACGGCCTTTTCCACGAGAGTGAGTACGTTTTCAAAAGCGTCGATATCGGCGGTTCGTGAGCGTGCCAGTGCATCGCGCACGTTGTGGTGTTCGGCAACTAGTGGACGGAGGAGATGGAAGAGGTGTGCTTGCATGGCTGTGAGATTAGGGTTTGAAGCTTCCTTCTTCTTTTCCGATTTAGACATTTGCTTCCTTTTCTTTTTTGGGGGGCCTTCGTCGTCGTCTTCTGCGTCTTCTGGCTTGCCATGCGTTTGCGATGCAGGCTCTTCGATGTCTCCCGGCATCCAGAGAGGTTTCCGTGAAGGGGGTTCCTGGCCTAGTGCGTATCTGTGGATGATATCCATGTATCGGCGCATGACGGCGTCCATCCTGTATCCCCCTTTGCCATCCCGACCGCGCCAATACTCACGTCCTTCTTGGCCCGGCGGCGGCGGTGGGGCGAAGATGGTGGGATCGTAGAGGTTTCCCTCGGCGCTCATGACACCATCTGCTCCTGTCGCCTCTAGACACTTGGCAATATCTTCGTGCTGCAGGATATTCCCGTTTGCGAAGATGACCGTCTCTTTGGGCAGGTTTTCACGCAGGTGGCGGATCATTTTCCAGTCCGCCAACCCGGTATTATGACCTTTTTGTTCTCTCCGTCGCCCGTGTACAGTGATGATACTGGCGCCGGCATCCAAGAGCGTCTTGGCATATGCCAGTGTCTTCTCTGGTGTCTCAAGAACTCGCATCTTGGCGGTTACAGGTACGTCCAGCTCTTCATGCAACTTACGGATCATCCTCGAGATGAGATCCCAGTCCTCTTGTAGGAATGCGCCATATTTTCCTCGTTTCGCAATACCTTGCGGACAGCCCAAGTTCAGATCCACCGCGTCGCAAAAGGGCGCCACATGTTTAGCCGCTCGCAGAAAGTCGTCGGGGTCGTTTGAGCAGAATTGCACAGTAAGGGGTCTGTCGAAGACTGGGTTACCGTCCAGGTGTCTATCCGAATCGCGCAGCTGGGATAAGTGGTAGTCGTCGATGGGGGAAGGAACGGTCGACTTGAGGGGCTGAAAGTGGGCGTCGCGATAATTGCTCTTTTCGCCGAACATTTTCGAATGGAACATTGGGGTATACGCTAGGAGGTTCTTTTGCTGAGACTCTGGGAGGAAGGAGCGCGAGAGCAGTCGCCATGCCTGTTCACGACACTGTTAGCCGCGACCTCGACTTGGGCGTTTACCAAGGTGTGACGAGACATACGAACTCAGACTGCTCCACCATGGGCGCAAGCACGAGCTTCGGACTCCCGATGCTCTCATAGAAGGCGCGCCCATGGAGTTTCCTCCTCTTCCCATTCTCTTGTGCCACACCATGACTCTCTATCACCCCGACACTCTCCCCCCGCTCCGCCAACGTCGTCTCGGTCGCCATCATGGCAAAATATCGTCTCGGTAGTCGGCCGACTTTCGCGGGGGCGATTGCGCCCCCAAACGCTTTGAACAAAAGTGCACGTATGACGTCGACTTGCAATATATGCAAGACAAGCTACCTACTGTACCTATAATATCCCACAGTTCTGGTTCCTGGGATCGCTCAAGGACGGGGTCGTGCGTTATGGTGAGCTCGCACGCTGAAAAAACGACATGCCCCCAACTCCACTCCGCAAAAGGTACCAACCAATCGGAGTGGGCCATTTCTCCGAGATGGGTATTCACCCAACGACTTTCTCTGGCCTAAGCGTCAGGAACAGTCATACTCGTAGACAAGCTTCATCAAGCTGCTCACCCGGCGCATCCGCTGTTACAGATATACATCTTGACCCCATCTTTCTTGCGTGATGACAGTCATACACCGACGCCCGAGGCTTTCCGGCTTCCGAGACAAAAACGCCGCATCATGCTTTTTTCATCCTCTGCCATAAAACCTGCTACCTGCTCCTCCTTGATCTCTTATTTTGCTTCCGGTCGTGCCGCGTACCTTTACCGTCTGCTGTTGTGGACAATATCATTCTCTCCAAGGTCGCATGCTGCCCTGTACGCTAGCCATGGCGCGCCCGTCACGCCATCAGGGTACGACATTGCATCTACACTTGGTACCTCACCGACATATCAATCTCAGTCACCTTGCCTCGCATCTTAGTTTCATACTTTCAGACTTTACCAATATTCATTTCAACTGAAACTATCAATCATCAACTCTTGTCGAGGCTCTGCTACTTATTACGCCGTCTGACCTGTAGAACAATACACGCATTAACAAACCCACAATGCCAGTTGAAGCTGCAACCAGGAAAACAAACGCCAGGTCATTTCGACCATGCCTCCGACATCCACCTCGTCATCGCCATCATCTTCGATCCATCCATCAGCCGTCTAGCAGGTATCGAATCGGCAATCATTAGTCTGGAAATCGAATCGGCCGTAATGCAGTTTACCTCGGCGCCGGCAGGGACTGCTCTCTATGACTACGCCACACATAGGCAAAGGAAAACGCTGAATCGCAACAAAGACGGAGACCATGCCAGGAAAACAAACGCCGGTGAGATGCAGTATGCAGATGCTCCATCAGAGGAGGTAAAAGAGAATGGATACCACGCTAAAAGTAGTCGTGGTTCCGGATATCATGAAGAGGAGGCCCGTCAGGACTAAGAGTGCATCCGTGCAAAAGGTGTGGAGACTCGGGGGGGTGCGGACAGTGCTCAGAAAGTGCTCCAGTTCCAAGTGCCCTGGAGGCTCTGTGCGAGGCTACCCACGCGGTTGTTCTCCACTCGCTTCGCAGGAGCAGGGGCCTCGATGGACTTTGCTGAGGCAGGGGCGTTGTCACCCGAGCTGTGACTGCTCATGCTGCCACGAGACCTCAGGTGCTCCCACTCGCGGAAAGAACTATGGCAACGGTCGCAAGCGCGATGCCAATGGCCCTCTGGATGGAAGAGTGCAAGCTCGTCAAGACGGACCTGGTTGCGGGAGTGTTGCCAGCAAAAGATACCGCCACACTTGCGGCAATGGTGGCGACGCTGGAAGAGAGTAAAGGGCTGCTGGCATGACTGCGCCGTACATACCGGAGTGGATCCGTCAGCCTGAACAGTTTGTTAGTACGATTGGTCTGGAACACGAATACGCGACAAGTGCTTGGCTAGCTTATAGCAGACCCTGGACCAGGTGAAGGCACTAGCGCGGGGTGGGATGAGAGCTGAGCCATGTCATGATGCGACGCAAGCCGAGCTGCACGCTGCAGGAGCAAGAAATGATCCGAAGCGATTGCGGCATTGGACAGGTTGCGAGAGCAACGATCGTCGCATCTTGCCGCAGTCTGGCTTGCACTTGTTGAGATTCAGTACACCCGCCGCTCGGCGTGTCGGCCTTGCAGACGGTGCAGACAGCGGGAAACCAGACCAGCGCGGCGCTAGCAGGACCCACACTCGGACCATGTACGTAACATGCCCCAACTGAGGCACGCGACAAGGGAAGGTGGGCAGAGCTAACGTGGACGTGGTAACAAATGAAGAAAAGTCTAATAACGTACCTGCCAGTGGTTGCGTGTGATTGGGCTGGACACGGGTGACAATGGTTCGTCGTTGTATAGGCTCTTCATGTCCTCGTTGCCGACTTGAGAGATGGTCGTCGCGCTACTTTCACTCGCGTTCCAGGCGTAAGTGCCGCCGACAGACCACGCGTGGTTGGGAGAGCTGAGGGCCGAGTCGGCCTTTGGCGGGGACTTGTTGGCGGGCTTCTCAGTCCTGCGCAGGGCAGCGGGGATGCCGATGGCGGTCCTGGGCTGGTATATGCCCTGATGGCGGCCGAGGGGCAGCTGCGTGTTGCGCGGGGATGTGGGCGAAATGTTGGCGGGAGGGTTCATCATGCCAGAATTGGTGGGCGAGTACTGCGACTGGGTCGACTTACGGTATGCATGGTGCTGGTAGGGTGCGTGCTGGTGCTGTTGCGGAATGGCCGTCACCGTAGAGAAGGTCGTGGCCATGGTGGCTAGTCGAGGTGATGGAGCTTAGGGAGTCGTGTTTGGTCGCAAACTTGAAATCAGAAACGTCTCCTGGTTGGAGGTGACTGATAAGGACTGGTGAGCGGTGAAAGTGGCCTGATGGTATTGGTGCGATAGTTCCCAGGAATGGAAGTGTCCAACTACAGCCCTAGCGGACCGGAACGCAATCAGTGCCTCTGCAGCAGTGCGACAATAGTCGGGCCAAGTGGCAGTGGTAGACGCAACGGGATGCGGCTCCGTCTATAGGTGCTGACTTTTTGGGCAAAAGTCAATTGGTAGCTGACGTGCAGGCGATAAGAGCACGGGAAGTGGTGATACAGCGGACGCGGGGGACGGGGGAATTAGCAGCGCATGGCCACGATGGTCGTATGAGGATAGAGTGTGGTGATGGCAGTGTGATGGCAGTTGAGAGGGCAAGGTTGGGAATAAGAAAGCAGCAAGTGGCGCCCAAGTGTGGAGGAAGACCCGGGGTGAGGCTCTGGGGGCAGGGTGAATTAAGTCAAGGCAAGCAAGCGGTTCTGGCAATAATTACCAGCAGCGAACTGACGGATGGGCGGCGGCGGCTCGATGGGGTATGCCTGCACGCTTGGCAGCCGAGTGAAGGACAGGGTATCATCGGGCTACGACCGGCGATTATGAAGATGAAAATTGTAACAGCGCGCACATGTCCGTCGCAGCTTCTCTCAACCACAAACAGCCTAAAGGAGGTGAGGCAGCGGATAAACGACTAGCTACATGTCCCCGCAAATTCCCCTTGGTCTCTCCATCCCGTGACGGCAGCGCGCCTTCCTCTGCGGTGTCGTGTGTGTGTTGCGCCTGCCCTGGAGTGAGAGAGACGTTGGGCCCACCCTTCCCGTTTGGGGCTTGCCTTATCTCTGACCAATGAGAGCGAGGCCAAAGTGGAAGGGCCATGCCTGGTGACGGAACCTTGACCTTGACCTCGTGCGGAAAAGCGCAAAGTTTGAAAATGGGGTTATGATGTAGAGACCACACAGATGGCTTCATTGCTCGTATTCTCCTCCATCAATAGCAGCCGTTGATTGACAGCATAGGCCGCGTTGCATGGTGCAGCGTGCAGCGTGCAGCGTGCAGCGTGGGCAGCTTGGCCGCGCGAGGCGCCCACTCTGCACTTGCACTCACACTCGCGCTCGAGTCCGCGCAGATGCGGCGAGGCGGGCTGCCTCCAACTGGCGGGGCTGTTGCCACAAAACACCGTGACAGTATCCAGTATTGTTGCCGCCAGCACCCACCCGCCAGATTGAGATTGAGATGGATTTGGAGACGTGGAGAACGACGCGCATGCAATACCCAGTAGATTGCGCTCCACCCAATGCCTCGTTCGGCCGGTCGCCAGCTAGTCGATAGTCGACTATGGGTAGGGGTTGCCTCACGCTTAATGCGCCGTCGGCCATGGCCGCTCCACAACCTCACGATGTTCGCCTGAACCTCGGGCGGTGGTTGCAAACTTGCGCATGACGAGTTTCACCTCGACGGCCTGGGTGGCGTGCTTAAAGCCGCGGCTTTGTGCTGTTTCCATTTCGCCTTGTCTAGCCCGTGCTCGCTCGGCCGACAAACATCACGGTTCCATTCAACCCATCACTAGCAGCTGTGTGATATGGTCGGCACGTCGCGCACACCGATGGCAATGGCAATGCGATTCTGTTCTTCCGACAGTCCAAGCCTCCTCTCACGCTGGTCGAAGTTTGTTTGTTTGCCTTGGTCAGTGAACCGAGGTTCGCCCCGTATGGATAACAACAACCACGGCTGACAGGCGGGGAAACCCACCCCTTTTCACTGTGCAGCTGTCTTGACACCGTACGTATACACAGTAAAAGACACCTGCACCTGCATCTCTAGTAGCAAGACCCGCCGTTCCAAAATCAAGACCCTTTGGGAGTGCACGCTCGTCACCAAGGCTATCCCTGAAGACGCAATCTACGTGGCAAAATGTCAGAACCGCTGCATACCGAACCCGTTTCGCCCAAGGCCACACCTCTACCTCCGCTGCCATCTGAGGATCCGCTAACGCCGGCACAATGGGCGACGTTTTTTGCTATCGCAGATGTAGTGATTCCGGCCATCAAGCCCATGTCCACTGCCAAGGTGCATACCGAAGTCGCTGTTACCGACACCGACTACTCGACCGCCGTCGGCACCCTGAAGGCGCGTACGCCCGCGAATGACCCAGACGCTGAGACGGCCGTCAAAGAGTACTTGGAAGATTATGCCAGTCGGGACCCGGCGTTTCGCGCCGAGATGCAGAGGGTCTTTGCAATGTATCTGCCTCAGAGCCAGAAGAAAGACCTATGCATGATACTCAATGTCCTCAACACCAGAGCTGGCTCTTTGTTCTTGACCGGCCATGTCACACCCATCAGCGAGCAGCCGCTTCACATTAGGGAGTCGATTCTCAATGGCTGGGCTACTGCGCGCCTGGGAGTGATCCGCCAAATCCGCCGTTCACTCACCATACTTACTAAGCAAGCCTGGATCAAGACGTCCCTTCCACTGCGACGCGTCATGGGTATCCCGCGTGTGCCCATTGGAATGAAACCTGACAAGGGCTACGACTATGAATTCATACAAATACCCCCAGGTGACATGCCAGAAATAATCGAGACGGACGTGATCGTCGTGGGCAGTGGTTGTGGAGGCGGTGTGTGCGCCAAGAATCTGGCGGAAGCCGGACATCGTGTCTTGATCGTGGAAAAGTCGTACCATTGGACACCCGACCATTTCCCCATGATCGAGGTCGATGGCTGGCATCATCTCTTCATGAGCGGCTCGTTCTTGTCATCGGACGACTCTACAATGACCATTGTAGCGGCTGAGACATGGGGCGGTGGAGGCACTGTCAATTGGTCTGCTTCTCTACAGACCCAAGGCTACGTCCGTCGCGAATGGGCAGCACGGGATCTACCGTTTTTCACCTCTGCAGAATTCCAGAATTCGCTAGATCGTGTGTGCGGTCGAATGGGCGTTTCGACCGAGCACATCAAGCACAATCGTTGCAACGAAATGTTGTTGGAGGGGGCCAGGAAGCTCGGCTGGACTAACAAGGCCGTTCCGCAAAACACCGGAGGAAACCAGCACTACTGCGGCTTCTGCAGCTTTGGCTGCGGTTCCTGTGAGAAGCAAGGCCCGGTAGTGTCCTGGTTGCCCGATGCTGCTCGCGCCGGCGCCAAATTCATCGAGGGCTTCCACGCTGAAAAAATAATCTTCACTAAGCAGGACGGCAAGCAGGTAGCGACAGGCGTGTTGGGCACCTGGACGTCCCGCGACATCAACGGCGGTGTCAGTGGTGCCCCTCTAACGCGCCGCCGTGTCTGCATTCAAGCCAAGCGCGTCATCGTCTCAGCAGGCACTATGCAGTCACCGCTTTTGCTTCTTCGCTCTGGTCTCAAGAACCCGCAGATAGGCCGTAATCTCTATGTGCATCCTGTCACTTTCCTAGGTGCTTATCACAATGAAGATATCAAGCCGTGGGAGGGCGGCATCTTGACGGCTGTGTGTAGTGAGTATGAGAATCTCGACGGCAAAGGCCACGGCGTCAAGCTAGAAGCCACAAACATGGTCCCTTCGTCGTGTCTCATGTGGGTTGACTGGAGGAGTGGGTTGCAGTACAAGCTCGATTCTGCTCGACTGAGGAACTCGGTGGGCTACATTTCGATTGCGCGAGATCGCGATACAGGCAGAGTGTATCCCGATCCCGTAGATGGACGAGTGCGTTTCCAGTACCACCCCAGCAAGTTCGACAAGCACAGTATGATGGAGGGTGTCATTGCACTAGCCAAGATCCAGTATGTCGAAGGCGCACAAGAGATTTTCACATTTATACCAGGCATGAAGCCCTTCATCCGCAGCCCATCTACCCCACCAGGCGACGGTATCAACGACGCAGCCTTCCAAGCCTGGCTCACAGAGGTCAGGGCACGAGGCTTCCCATCACCCGAAAGCATGTTTGTGTCTGCGCATCAGATGGGTACGTGCCGCATGAGTGCGCGGTCCAAGGACGGCGTCGTAGATCCCCACGGCAAAGTCTGGGGCACAGAGGGTCTGTACGTGGCCGACGCCAGTGTGTTTCCTAGCGCAAGTGGGGTCAATCCCATGGTTACCAACATGGCCATTAGCGACTGGATCAGTAGAGGCATCGCTGATGGCATGGAGGAGCGGCCAAGGTTGTAAGCATGTGTAATCGGGTGTGGGTGTTGTTTTCTTTTGCACGGCGTCTGTAACGATTGGTGGTATCTGTATGAAATTAGTTGGTGACCGATGATGCACATCGAGGTTTCTTGTCTGTGTAGTGGCTTGTGATGTTATGCGAACGATGGATTGTACGAGGACGAGTAAGCGGGTTATACCGCGTCCTTTGTCGGTAATACGGCTACTTTGATGTATCAATCCTATCGTCAGACCACTATTATCGTGGCAATGCGTCGATAGGATCAGCAAACAGTCGGTCATGGCCACAAACAGCAGACTATTGCGCATACCAGTACTCTGACGCCGAGAGCACGTCGTCGTCTGATTGGCTATCGGGCCTAGTACCGTTGTGGCCCCAGCTTAGCCCCGACTTTGTGACATCATCTCTTAACCTCAGTGGGGTGGCATGAGTTGGCTCCCTTTGACCTCACTCGCTCGTCTACGCGATCTCCAGGTGGACTACTGCGATGAGCGTAGGCTTCGACTTGGGTCCCTGAGCGCCTGAAACTACAGACAGCACGTCGTGCGCTGATATCGAGGATTGCGCCGTCAGTGTGTGTGCTTCTTATAGCCTGTGCATGGCGCTTGTGTCGGATGCAGGGTTTTGCCAGGATTCCCGCTGTTCGACGACGACGACGACTGCCACGCAATATAGCCGCAAGTACTGCCCTTCCCTTTGACAACTATATACAAGAACTACCACCATCACCATCACCACCCACGTTTCTCGCCGCATACACAACCGCCATGACCAGCGTACTCAAAGGCGGCTTCGGTTCGCCCAATAGCGCCCCTTTGCTCAACAACGCAAACCCCGGTACCGAGTTCGTCAACACGGTATGTCCGCTCAAGTCAGCGCTTGACGGCTACGACAACCGGCTCCCCTGCAGCATGCAGACGATCCACGTACCACAAAACTTTGCCGACGCTATGACGGTTCGCGAGGAAGTCTACGGTGAACAGGGCGTACCGTTGGAAGCCGAATTCGACCAAGACGACGCCCGCAGTTGGCACTGGGTTGCCTATGCGTCTGTAGCTACACACACGACCTCGCCACCCAAAACACTGCGTCGCTCCGACTCTGGAAACACGCCTGCTGATGACGTTCGCCGCGCTTCTGCAACCGCTACACGCGTGCCTGTCGCTACCATCCGACTGATCCCCCCGCCCCACGGCCGAAACAAATACATCGACGACAAGCACGCCGACGCCGACCCCCCAGCCTCCGATGAACACCACCACCCCACTGAACCCTACATCAAGCTCGGCCGCCTCGCAGTCCGCGCCCCCTACCGTAACCTCGGCCTCGCCAAACTCCTCATCAACGCCGCCCTCGACTACGCCACCACGCACGCCGGCCTCATCTACCGGCCGCCCTCCCCCACCGCCCTTGAACTCGCCCAAATGCTCGGCATCAACAAGGAAAAAGAAATCACCTGGCAGGGTCTCGTCATGGTCCACGCTCAAGCCCCTTTACGCGGCATGTGGGAGAAGCATGGGTTCCACGAGGAATTGCTGTCGGAAGACGGGGAGCGCGTGGAGATTGCTGCTGAGCCGCATTGGGTGGAAGAAGGGATTGAGCATTTGGGCATGTGGAAGAGGTTAGGTGTGGAGAAAAGGAAGAGGTTGTCGCTTTCTTCAATTGAGTCTTTTTAGACATTTTGTTTTCCTTTCAAATTGCTTTTGTCGGGTTTTATTTTATAAAGGTGTTTGTCAGGTGTTTTTTCTTTTTGGCACTCACTTACGATTTTCAATCCCGTGTTTTTAGGTATCCACTCGGACAGCCTATTCCTTACTATTAGAAGCCGGTTTGGAATGTTGTTGTTGCGCAACAACGTAGAGTCGGCAGGTTCGGATGATGACACGGCGGGATGGCAGGACGACAGCGATTATAACGACGATTACGGGAATTAGTGTTTGGGCTGTGGGTGATTTGTTTTGTAGGGTGGAATGAAGATGAAGATGGGGAAGAGATGATGATGGCGATGATTGATGGAAGAGAAGGGCCAGGAGTAGGAGGATATGAAAAGGCGATTATACCCGAATGAATGCATGAATGAATAAACGATAGTAGCAAGGACAGAGGAGCATGACAAGGTTACGATTATAATGACTACAGTTTTCTTTTTTTCTTCTACGTGGGTTATAGATAGATGGTGGTACGGGCGTAGGTTTAGGTTTAGGTCAAGGACTAGGTGTTATTCACAGATACGATTATACACATACTCATTCCCTATTTCTCAATCTATTTCCTAGTAAGGAATAGAAACAAGACAAGAATAAGATACTTGTTTACCTTGTATCTTATGCATCTTATTCTAGCCTAAAAAGAAACGAGAAAGTTACAAACATACAACAGCGGGGATTCGCTAGTGGTCATCCACCTAACTACTAATCCGCCGGTACACTGCTTATATATGGCTGAGCGGACGGGAAGCCTAGTTTTCTCCCTCGCGACTGCCACAAAAACCCTTAATTTTCCTGTATACGGTAATCTTGGCGGCACCGTCCACTGTAAAGTGGTCCTGAATCCGGTATGTTAATTCCTGTTTACTCAACAAACACATCACAAAACAAAAACTGGTCGAAACGCGTCATTTTTCATCGGAAAATAGTCAAAACCATCGAAAGAAACACATTCTACTCTAAGCTCGTGCAGCCTCCTGATTGTAAAGCTAGAGCTAGTAGAACGAGATTCTGTAAGGGGCTACGCTCAGGGAGCAATCGCACAGGTATAATGGAGTTGTATTCGATGGGGAAAAGCACTACAAGCTATCTCGTGCTGAAGGTTATTTGGAGAGCGGCTTGGAATAACCTTCTGCCTATGGACTATGCGGATGGTCTAAGCGTCGTTCGGACTATGTTGCACGCTAGCAGGGCTATCCCTACACTCTCTCATTCCTCACATATATATAGCTTCCCTCGTTCATAGCTATACAATCAACTCAGTCCTTCATCTCTTCTTCCATATCACATACGTGAGAGTTATGAGCCCGGATTTGCCTACTGCAATCTTTTAACCACTGAAGTTCACTCAACTGCCATCTCTTTGGCATCTATCTCCCGACAACCTATCCCAACTTTGCGATACTCTGCTATCTAGAATGGCATCAGTTGAAACCCAGAGGTCTACTAAGACCGTTGTCATCCTGACAAAACCAGAGGACTGGTCCCTTTGGCTCTTTCAACACAAGGATAAGGCAGTGTCACATGGAGTATGGGAGTACTGTAATCCAGCAGTCTCTACACCACCCACTCTTACGCCAAAACCTGAACGCCCTATACTCCCAGATGGAGACCTTACGGCCGAAGTTCTTCAAGTACAGCGAATGAAGCTCAGCGAGTGGGAATGGAAGTACAAGGAGTGGCACCAGAAAGACAAAGCTCTCAAGGAGATCTGCACTGACGTGGCATCAACAATCTCCACTTCTTTGATTCCTCTCATCCAGAATGACGCAACTGCACACGCACGACTAGCTAGACTCCGCAACAATCAATTCAATCCGGTCACTCTCCTAGACCCACTTACCTATCTAGGTAGGGCTTAAACTCCTATAGGTAACTACTAGGCTTAAAGCGGTAATCAATCAATCCAATCTGAACCTTCTAGGACCCACTTAATTGATTGTTGCGGACTGTGCGACTAGCCAAGCTCAGAGCCCACATAGCCCCATCCGACCCTACCCGAAGAAGAGAGCTTAGGGTGAAATACGACGCTCTACGATCACCTAAACCGCGCAACACAAGCGTGGACAAATGGCTAGACGAATGGATACGCGTCACTGACCTCATGGCTATGCTTGACATGCCTGTAGACTCCGCAACAATCAATTCAATCCGGTCACTCTCCTAGACCCACTTACCTATCTAGGTAGGGCTTAAACTCCTATAGGTAACTACTAGGCTTAAAGCGGTAATCAATCAATCCAATCTGAACCTTCTAGGACCCACTTAATTGATTGTTGCGGACTGTGCTGACCAGGCTGTATCTTCTCTTCATTCGTGTGCTTGTGATGCGGAAAGTTATGCTTCGATATGCTGGCGTCGATCTCCCGGTGGCTAGCACGCAAGATACCCGATGGCCCTACGTACTGCACAGCGTTAAGACGAGGAAGATTAAGAGGGTCCTCGACACCCTCAATACCATCACCACCTACGGCCTTAAGCTCGGCGAATGGTATGTTGATATGGCGAAGGACGCGGCCATCCTTATCGACTTTGCGAAGTATCAGAAACACATCAAGATCGCTGTGATCTGGACAGGACATATAAAGCACTGCCTTCGAATTTCCAATAAGCCTTGTTCGTTGGGTAAAGGTATATGTGAAGCTTAATTCCTCGGGATCAGCATCATCGTTTTCTGCCTTAGCGTCGGATATATAGGAAGATTGACCGCTTTTTACAAGGTCAAACGATGATTGTAGAGTGCCGTCTACGGAGAGACGCAGGGTAATGTTGTTGATCTCAGGAACTGGCCAAGCAGCGAACAGCAAGTTGTCGATGTTTGCCTGAGAATGTTAGAACGGCCTCTAACGCATGACTTCATCACTCTGAGTGTGTACTCATGTCATGAATTTGCTCGTACTTAGAACCCTTACGTTGTTATCAGAGATGTCAACAAGCAAGTCAAGCTGGCTTGATTCTTATCGATTGCAGATCACAGACAATATAGAGGCTCGTGCACAGTGGCACGTCCCAGAGAATGGTCTGTGATCTGCAATCGATAAGAATCAAGCCAGCTTGACTTGCTTGTTGACATCTCTGGTTGTTATAGCCAGACTCCGCAACAATCAATCGGATCGGCATGATTGATTCCTATCTAGGTTAAAGGCTGCCTAATAAAGTAACTCTTTAACCTATATAGGAATCAATCATGTCGATCGATTGATTGTTGCGGAGTCTGGTTATAGCTAATGACAGAAATACGCGCTCGGGCAGTCTGCTCCCATCCGTTGTTTTCTCCCTTCAAATAGAAGTCAAGGAACTTTTTGAAGTCGGCGACCGAGTGTTTCTGATACAGATCATGCCACTCCTGTGTAGAATGTAATCGTAGCCTAAAGCTATATCAGTGTTTGTACTTGACTAAGAGGACTACACAGCCGCTACTGCATACCATTTCTTGTCGTGCGGAATATCCTCAAACCCTCGGAGAGACCCAACTGTGTGTAGGCCAGTCGAAATGCTGGCTAGAACATAAGCAGGGCATCGAATGGAACTTATGTCTGCACGCTTGTCCTGCCAGTACTCATTCATGACAGGATATTTTTGCAACATAGCGATGACGTCTTCACGCTGTTGGCTTCCTAATGTCTATTCAGCATTGTTTTGAGTGAGGTACAAAGTTTGCAGACTGCTTACCATAAAGAAAAGGAGAGATGAAACCAAAGAATCCATGCGATGGAACACCACCTCGACACAGGGTTTCTCGATAGGCATCACTGCAACCTTCGAGAGGCATTATACACGTTAGGTGAGCTGGTCGCTCAGCTGCAATGAACCACTGCGTCATTGCAAGCCAAGAGTTACCAGCTAACGCGACTTTGCCAGTGCACCACGGGAGCTGAGATATGTGCTCAATAGCATCGTGGCCATCACGACCTTCCGCTGTCCCTAAGAACCTAGAAAATCAACGCGAGCGTGAAAATTGGGATAATAAACCCTACCTAGAGTCACCCTGGGAGCCTATTCCGAAATTAGCGTATGTACCAGCTTGCAGACATGCAACAGTTCACGGACCAAAAACGCCCCTTGCATCGACATTGACTACTGCGTAGCCATGTGCTACCCACTCGGCAGGATCGAAAGCCTCGAAGCTTTGAAAGCCAGACACTGCGCTTCGCGGTATTCCAGCTCGACCCGGGATAAGGTCAAGGTCGAAGAGCCCTTTTCGTATGTAAGCTGAGGTCCATAACATGGATGCGTCTTAGGGCTCAACAAACTAGGGAATCACATGAGCGAGAAGGAGGCCATATCCTCATAAGCATTGAAAGGTTTTACGCGCGGAGAAGGGCTATGGTCAACTAACCTGTGCCGGATTTTCCATATGGCGAATAATGCACGATGGCGGGTACCAGAGACATATCGGCCGGGCGGAATACATCTGCGCGTATAACGACTCCATCGCGTAAGGGGATTGGGATATCCTGTTCAAACACGGCTTCCGTTTCCCATGCTCTGCAGCCAGGGTCTTTTTTGTAACCAACCGGGAGCACAACCGTACGTGGGTTTAGGCCCCCGTATCGAGCTTTAGGGTCATCCGGCGGAGTCGCATCAGTATGTAGAACAAGAGTGCTTCCGATTCGGTACATGCTTGAGTCCACTGCAACAATTCAAATGGAAAATAAAAACTGTTCAAGAATGGCCGAGTTGCCGATGTAGATAATTTGTGAAACAACACTATCAAGATGATATATATGCTGAGCAGATCCATATGCGGGGTTTGATCGATGGTGGATGTGACTCCCGCCTTGGGGTGCTCTCGGACTCAACACCGGTATCCAAGATGCCAATAACCTTGTTTGGAAACTAGCCTTGATGCTTCAGGACAAGCTTGGGAAAAGCGACTTTCTCGACACCTACGATGAAGAACGTCGCCCAATTGGAGAAAGAGTAGCGCAATCGAGCCTGGTCAATATGCAGAGTCACAATATGATTATGGACAAGGCTTTGGGGATCGGCAGAGACACTTCAGTCGCCGAGAATAAAAGTGCGATTCAAGCACTGGTCGACGAAAGTCATTCATGTCATTCTCAAGTGCATGCAGATGTGCAGAGAGCACAATCAGTCCTCGATAGCGAGTTCAAGGCACTGGGGACAGAGATTGGCTGGTTTTACCCAACTGCTGATATCAATAATGAGGGTCGGGATAACTTTCACGATGGCCAACTAGACAGTGATGGAAAGCTGAACACTACGGAATACCACCCTTCAACAATACCTGGGCATCACTTTCCCCACATGTGGTTTAGGAAAGAAGGTCATGTTGTTGTCTCGTCCCGTGATCTTCTGTGCTTGGACCGGTTCGTTCTCTTTACGGCAGACCTTACTGCCTGGAGCCGAGTTGAACATGAATTGATTCACGTTGTTCCTATTGATGGTAAAAAGCTGGAAGATATTGATGGAAAATGGGGTCAGCTTTCAGGAGTGGAAGGCAAAGGGGCTGTCCTAGTAAGGCCAGACGGTATTGTGGCATGGAGAAGCAAATCCGCTGAAGATAACAATGTAAATAGATTGTATGCAGTCCTTGCGAAGATACTTCGACAATAGTTCAAGTAATCGAAAATTAAATTATTAAATTAGATTTATTACTTAGGGCAGTCTCTCTTAGATTCCTTACTTAGGCCCTTATTTATCTTCTATTCCTATCTTCTACTCCCCTAGTCTAACTTGTATTGAAAGGAGTGTTGTCCGGACTCTATAGTTTCAATCTTAGAGCCGGCCAACACCACCTCAGCTGTGGCACAAGGCGGAATCACAATCTCAAGCCTCACCATGCCTGTCTCCCTATTCAGGCTCCAGGAACTCTTCGCGAAGCCCAATGGCGTCTTCAAAGAAGCCTCAGCATGAGTTAATCCGCCTCCGATCAAAGGCTCCACCCTGATCTTCCTGTACCCCGGCTCGACTGCCTTCATACCGGCAACCCTCTCATGCAACCATTGTGCCACACTGCCGAATGCATAGTGGTTGTGCGACATCTTCGCATTGCCTTTGCCGTCGTAACCTTCCCAGGTCTCCCACAGAGTCGTTGCGCCCTTTGACACAGGATAGAGCCACGATGGCACCGTGTCTTGCATCAGGAGGCGGTACGCGATGTCTGACCTGCCGTGTTCTGCAAGTGTAGGGAGCAGCAGTCCGGTGCTCATGAAGCCTGTTTGCAGATGGTAGCCGGCTTGCGTTATCAGCTCTACGAGGCGCTCCAAAGCTGCTGGCTTTTGCTCTGGCTCGACGAGATTGAAGGCGAGGGCGCGGACGTAATCGTCTTGGAAGTCTCCTGCAATGCGGGAACCGCCTCGTCGGACGAACGCAGAGCGCCACGCTTCGGATGTTTTCTGCGAGAGTGCGAGATAGTGGTCTGCATCGTCCTGTTTGCCAAGGATCTTAGCGATGTTGGATAGCAGACGCGATGAGTTGGCCAAGTAAGCGGTAGAAACAGCGGCGCTCGGGAACAGAACCTCCTTGACCAGTGTGAGAAACCCGCTTCCAGCCCGAAGCCATTCACCATAGCTGAAACCGGTATCCACGATGTAGTGCTCAAGGTCACCACATCCAGCACCGAATTTGTTGAAAAGCCATCTTCCCCAGCTCATCTTGTCCCGTGCTCGACCTGCCAAGCTATTCACCCATCTCTTCATACTATCGTACTGTCGCGAGAGGACTACTTCATCATTGTAGTACATGTACAGAGTCCAAGGTACCATTGTAGAAGCATCGCCCCATCCAGTTGATCCCGAAGTTATCCTCATCATCTTCGACATGAGCGACACCTGGCCATTACTAAACTCTGATTCACCGCTGGGGATGTATGGGTTGATGGTGCCGTCGGCATTTTGCTCCGCAGCGACGCAACGCAAGAATCGACGCAGGAAATTCTGACTGTCGAATAGCAAGGTAGCAGTAGGAGAAAATACTTGAATATCTCCTGTCCAACCCATTCGCTCTCGAGTTGGACAGTCGGTTGGTATGTCGGTAAAATTGCTGCGTGCACCCCAAACAATGTTCTGATAGAGTTTGTTAAGGCGGGCGTCCGAGCAGGTGAAGGATCCGGTGTTTGGGAAGTTGGAAGCCAGGACGATTCCTTGGATGTCAGAGGGACTGAGATCGTAATCCAAGCCTTGAACTTCTGCGTATCGAAATCCATGGATGGTGAACCATGGCTGAAACTCAGCTGCATCGTCTCCAAGAGTTACGACGTCCCGTTGTACGATGTGCGGAAGGACGGGAAGCTTCAGATAATCAATGTTAAGCTCTCCATTGCTGGACAAGACCTCGCTATATGTCATGGTGACTTTGGAGCCTGCCCGGCCGCGGAGCTTGATTGCCATGATTCCGGCAAAGTTTTGACCGAAGTCGACTATTTGCACTCCTGAAGGTGCACGAAGGACATCCTTGGGTGACAAGCGCATCACCTCTTCAACGCGTTCGACTTCTTCTGCGATGAGTTTCTTGGTCAAAACTGTGACTTTCTCGGCAAGGTTAGAAGACAGAGTATCACACTTCCCCAGCCATTCGACAGAGATTCGAAAGTCGGTATGTTCACCCCATACGGGGTCTGATCGAACAATGGGACCCTTCACAGACCTCCATGTCTCGTCTGTACAGAATGTGACAGTGCTTCCATCATCTGTGTTCACCTCGAGCTGTACAAGTGCAGAAAGCCGATCTCCGTATCGACAGCGTCCTTCAGTAGCGCCTATCTGTCCTTTGAACCGCCCATCTGCAACAACGACACTAATCACGTTCTCGCCAGTCTTCAAATAATCAGCAATATCATAAGTCTGGTATTCAGTGAACTGATCGAAAGGCGTCCAGCGTGGCACCAACGCCGTACCAGTGACATTGTGTTCATTGACGAAAAGCTTGTACCATCCACAAGCTGTCGCGTAAGCTCGTACACGTACTGGCGTTTGCGCAAGCTGCAAGTTACGGGAGAGATATATGACTCTGTCATCTTTCGCTGAAATCTCAGTCGTTTTCATCGCAGGAGCACCAATCCAGGACGCTTTCCAGTCCGATGGCTGCAGCAGCCCTGTTTCGAACCATGCTTGCTCGGCCGTATCCCAAGTGTCGTCACTGGTCTCTTCGAATTGGTCCCATACGCGGAGGCGCCAATAGTACCGAGTGCGACTTTTCACACTGTCTCCCGCATAGATGGCGGTAAGTGACGGTTTTTTGCTTGTAGCTATCTTCCCGCTGTCCCAAACGATAGCTTCAGATTCGAAAGATAAAGATGTGGAAACTTGAAGTTCGTAGAAGGACTGAGTGATGTTGCAAACATCTTCCTTTGCTGTTAGTTGCCAGCTGAATTCCACAGGGAACGCATCGATCCCAAGCGGACGTAAAAGTCTATTGGTGCGCAAACAGCACGGTCGTGCAGTCATCGAGAAGAGAGGCGGTGAGGGGAGACTATGTGTGCGGATTGACGAAACATATGTTCATCAACCTCAATTCAAGAGTGAAGTTCTCGTCTTTGTACCGAGCTTGCCGGTATGATGTGGTTTTTGACGTTGCCGCGATGGCCTTGGCACAATGGCTTGGCCGGTCCAAACGCGTAAAACGGATAAATAAGCTCCGACCCGGAAATTTCTCGCACCTCTTCCAATTGCGCCACGGACTAAGCTAGCTGACCGGGATGTTGATCACCCGGGGATATTGATCACTCACAAATTCCAGCATTCCCACACAAAACACGTGTTTATTCTCTCAACGTAGTTACAATTGCCACTCTTGTCAGATAGCAGGCGTGTCGAGCCGAAAGTGCCGACACCGCTAGCTAATAACGGGTTAGCGTCT